GGGGGGGGGCGGAGGGGGTTGGGGGGTTGGGGGGCTAAAATTCCCCAAAACCTAAGTTTTAGGACACCCTTGATGACTTAAAATGGTTAAAATAAAAATCCGTTCACAAGGGCATTTTGACATGCTTATCCCGGGATACCCTTTGGAGATTAATTCGTTTGAAAAAGAGAGGGATTTCACGAAAATACTTTGAAAGGATGGTATGGAGATCAGAGAGTGGAGGGAAAATTTTGGATCTTATTTGTTGATATGTAGGGCAAGTTATCAAAAACACGCTTAATAGATACAGTTATGTGATTAGACTTTTAAGGGTTAAAATGGCACAAAAGTAAAGATGGTAACTGGACTTACGTCAAGGAAGCGCTATGAGGGGTGAAGGGGGGGGGGTCAAAAATGCCGAAAAGTAATTTAGAGACGGTTCCAAAATTCATTGACATACGCGAAAAGTTGGGGAGAGGGCACCACTATCAACTCTCATCATCTTGCAGTTTCCAGTCCCCTGCCGAAAACGGTAAAATTGAAGAGACCGCGGGACAAAACCGAACACGGCCCCGCCGCGCATCGGTTTTATGAAAATTAATGTTTCATTCGCTGTGAAACGTATAATGAGGCGGAAAGCGTTGCCAAATCTTAGCGAATTGCTCCATTATTTGACGGTTCTCGGGGTTAAAAGATCAAATTTCCCCCTGAAATCAGCCAACATCGCGAGCGGGGGTTGATAGTGACGTTTTACGAACAAAAGATGTCCTGTTCCCCCTCGACCCCCCTTACTTTCAGCAGGTTCATCGGCGCGACACCCTATTCGTCGCACAAAGGATCGAGTTATTAGGACAGGCTGGATTTGAAATTTTTGACTTAAACGCTAACTATTCATGCTCATATTGATTCACAATATATTTTAAAGGGTGCTTCTGAGAGGTAATTTTGCAATAAAACCAACGGGACCAATTTTAAAACTTTACGCCTCGTGTTAACGAAGACAAGAGCTTTGGAAGTTTCCACATCCCGCTTGAGCTTCTCCTTCGCCTCGCTTTACTGTGTGTCGATGCCAACTTAACAGATCCGTATTTTTTATTCTATAGTAATTAATGGAGATGTTGCATGTGTGAGGAATTTGCGATTTGACTGTTGAATCATATGTAAAAGTTCGCGAGAAACACGATGGTGCCACTGGTTTTCTCTGAAATCAACTCCCAAGCTCAAAAAAAGCTCTCAAGTTCAAGCCAAAATGGAGGGGACATCCCACGCTATCCTGAGAGTCCACCTCTACATCAAAACAAACTCTCCATGCGAAGATAGGGAGCAAATACATTAGCAGGGTTGCCGTGTTTTCAGTTTTAGAGTCCCCAAATAAACTGGCAGCCCTGTCAATGTATTTGCTCCCTATCTTTGCATGGAGAGTTTGTCTTGATGTAGAGGTGGACTCTCAGGATAGCGTGGGATATTTCCTCCATTTTGGCCTCAACTTGAGAGCTTTTTTGAGCTTGGGAGTTGATTTCAGAGAAAACCAGTGGCACCATCGTGTTTCTCGCGAACTTTCCCTGGTAAAAATTGGCGATAGGAGCTGCGTTTCAAAATACCATGGGAGTTCTTATAGCCGACTGAAGAAGGCGATAGAAAATCATATAGATGGCTGTAGAAAGTGGAAAAAATCATACGGCCGGGCTACACGAAGCGATAAAAAATTAAACAGCCGGGCTATAGTTCCTGTCGCCGGGCTTTACACTTTATCGCCTGGCTATTGCTTTTTCGCCATCGGCTATGAAAGGCTATAAGAAATTGTGTAGAAATTCGTGTGCTTTGT